TGTGTGTGTGTGCATGTGTGTGTGTGCATGTGTGTGTGTGCATGTGTGCATGTGTTTTTCACTGATTGCTATTTTAATCTTCATCACGTCTCTTTCCAGAGCATTCACTCCCTGTTTCCGCTGTGTTGCACTCATTTCTCTTTTACCTTTTCCTCGTCTCTTCCTCATTACTTTTTTTTTGTATACCTCCCCTCTGCCCCACAACTGAACCCATTTTTAAAGCCTTCACACCTGCAAATACTCTAGCACCATCTATAGCTAAAGAGTTTACAATGATTTTACACACACACACACACGCACGCACGCACGCACGCACGCACGCACGCACGCACGCACACACACACACACACACACACACACACACACACACAAACTCTGAAGGCTTTTAGTTATCACGCTAACAATATGTAGTCAGGAGCTGAGTCAACAACACAGTCTTGTTGAAGTTCTCAGGAGTGTTTTATTGTGTGTATGTGTGTGTGTGTGTGTGTGTGTCTTCAGAGATCACTCTCAGAGCTTCTGGGAAACAAATTTGGAGGCAGGTAGTGAACAGCTATACAGGATATTTGTTTCGAGATAGGCTTAGTAGTGATACTTATGCTTCTATAGTCAACCTTTATACTCAGTCACATTTATTTGTGTGTGTGTGTGTGTGTAGGCTCAGAAGGTCTGGGTTTTACCGTTGTAACCAGAGATTCTTCCGTCCACGGTCCTGGTCCTATTCTGGTCAAAAACGTTCTGGCACGTGGAGCCGCTGTCAAAGATGGACGCTTGCAGTCTGGAGATCGCATTCTTGAGGTAAAGGGTAGCTTACTGTTAGCATTCATGAAATCCTGAAAACAAGAGATACAGATAAAGGTAGATCTGCCAAAGCGGGTGAGCGGCCGATCAGTCATGTGACCAAACAAATGTACACACACATGCCGCATAATGTTTTTAACTATGCACACATCGGCAAACACATACACATCAAAGCCACACTCTCACAACCAGTGGAGTTATGAAATACTGTAAAGTACTTTACTTGAGTATTTCCATTTCATGCAGCTTTTTGGTCCTACTGACCAATATTGTCCTTTTTACTCCACTACATTTTCCTGACGGCTTTGGTTACTAGTTATTTTACAACTTCATTTCTAAGCTAAAATAAAATACAAACAAACTGATAAATTAACTTTGATATATTAATAAAGGTTAAGATATGCAGCAGCAGTATACAAAGTAAATGAGTTTCGTATTTACCAGGTGCTACGAATAAATGAATGCATCAATAGTCATATTCCAGTAATTTCATGTATTTGATTTTCAAATAGGCCTTTACACACAGTAAGTACTTTTACTTTTGTACTTGAGTAAGATTTTGAATGCAGGACTTTTACAAATGAAAAGTATGATTACACGTCATGTCGTCTGTTTGGAAGTTACTGAACGTCAATGAAGAAGACCTCAAAAAAATGACACTTATGCTGATAATGGTGATGTATTGACTTTTTGTTTGTGTTTGTGTGTGTGTGTGTGTGTGTGTGTGTGTGTGTGTGTGTGTGTGTGTGTGTGTGTGTGTGTGTGTGTGTGTGTGTGTGTGTGTGTGTGTGTGTGTGTGTGTGTGTGTGTGTGTGTGTGTGTGTGTGTGTGTATTTAGGTCAACGGTGTGGATACCACAGGTGTGGGCCAGGAGGAGCTGGTGTGTATGCTCCGCAGCACGCGACAGGGAGAGAGTGTGTGTCTTGTGGTCCTACGGCAGGAAGACATGTTCCTGCCCCGAGAGATGGTAAGAACCAATCACAATGCTGCATTATCAGCCAATGAAACAAGATGTTCCTGTTGATTGGCAGGTCAGTGGCTAGTTTAACAATAGAAGAACTACTTCTGCAGCGAGAAGGACAGGCATACGCACAGCTACATTAACCAGTTTGCAAATGTCCACTCCCTCTAATTATGCGGTTTCTCGTCCAACCAACAGGCTTGCCTTGATGATGCACAGCTCAGCAACCTATAGGAAATCGTCTTGTTATACGCAATATTATAATAATATTTTCTGAACTATTTTGAAAGATAACACATTTGCAGTCATGTTTTCTCTTACCACGCAATCGTGTAACACAGTATTTCATAGAACTCCATTTTGATTGAATGAAACGAGCCCATTGTAAAGCTTCTTCTTGATATTGGTAAACCATTTTGGGTAATCTTTCCTTTGCACTTGTTTCTGCTGAATTTCATCACTGTTTTCATTAATAAACACTTCTTTTATTCACCTTTGTTCTATTCTTCCATGCTTTGTCCTTCAATCTAACGTTGCATGATCAACCACTATGCATGCTTGTTATAGCTCTCTTTAGACTTTTTCCAATCCCTGCTGTTGTTCGCTCTTCAAATCTATAAAAAAAACATGATTAATTAATGTTCCTTATATAAATATATTCTGCTTTCACATTTAAACATGTAGAGAAAGTCTGTAGCTCTTTATCATTCACCTGAAAGGTGTTGTACTCTTGGAAGCGGTTCTTAAAGTGAGCGAGTTAAATATTGATCATACGTTCAATTATTTGGGTTTTTTAATTACGTTTCACCCACTAGCTAGATTCGATATTTAAGTTTTCAAATATTCAAAAGTTACTAATATGACAACTCGTGATTTGCGCAATCAGATTATTTCTACTTACAGTATGCATGTTATATTGGGTGTATATCATCCTATGAAGGGTGGCCACGGTCTAAAAGAGTTTGGGAACCACTGCTCTAAGGTGTTTTTGTGAAAAACTTAATTTTTCCCTTCAACTTTGAAACTTTGAAACCTGTATTTACACTGGCACAAACAGCATAACAACAAGTCTTGCTCTATAAAACCACAAGTCCTTATTTTATAATTTAGCCAGACTTACTTTTGTCTTCCCTCCACCTATCACTCATGTCTTTGGTTCATTGTATTTTATTCTTTAAAAGTTCACTTCTCTGTGTTTTTTCCCCTTTGTGTCTCTTTCCGCTCTTATCGACTGGTGTTTCCTTAAAGGCTGCAGGGAAGTTACACACACACACACACACACACACACGCACGCACGCACGCACGCGCGCGCACACACACACTCATGCATGCGACCCTGAGCCCCATAGGAAATTCTGTTTCTGCAGACAGGAAAAGGAGAGGTGTGTTGGGAGTGTGTAATGTACATGTGTTAACATCTAGGATCATTTGTGAGTATTGTATCTAGTCCAGATGTCCCGTTTCTTTTTGTACGCATGTCTGAACTCCATGGCAGTCTTCTTTGTCTACTTGTTATGATGTTACGTGTGTTTTTTAAAAACCTCTCTCTGACAGTAGCACTTAGTAGTACTTTGTCTACTTCCAGACGGTTTCATGGCAAACAATACTAGAAAGCTGCATTTGAAAGGGGTGTGAATCTGTGTGATTGTTTCTTTAATCTGGGGAAAATAATGATCACTTTCTAAAACTAAAATAGGTGTTTCACTGATGAACTAATCAGGAGAAAAAAGACAGTTAAGTGCTGATGGTCATACATTTAACTGGGGTTTCTAAATGATTTGCTGCTAGCATATATGGCTTATGACATTATACTATATTTACAAAATCCCTCTACTTCAATACCTGAAACCATCCGCCTCATAAACACCTTTTCTGATTTAACCAATTATACTATTAACTGGTCTAAATCAACCCTTCTTCCACTTTCATCTAATAGCTGTGTGATGGCAGTCCAAACACCGCCTTCTTTTCTGCGTACTGGTAATTTGACTTATTTAGGAATCAACATTTCCCCCAGGCTGACAACATTAGTAAATCTGAACTTCACCCCACTTCTCAAAACAATAGTAGACAACCTTCAACGTTGGATGAATCTCCCAATATCCCTTATCGGCAGAATTGCAACAGTCAAAATGGCCATACTCCCAATGATAAATTACCTATTCTCAATGATCCCTATTAAACCCCCACCCACTTGGTTCAAATCTATAGACTGCCATCTCAACATTTTACTGGAAAAACCAAACACCTAGAATCAAACTATCTACTATTCAAAAACGCAAGAGTCAAGGTGGCTTAGAAGCACCAAACGTTCTGCATTACTTCATTGCCCAGCAACTACAATACATTTACACATGGACTAATCCTAATAATTCCGACACCTCCTGGTTAGACATTGAACAAACATTGTGCAAAGATATTCAGACTTATTGTTCATAAGCCGCTCCATCATACGTCATCCATGCTTCAAAAACCCTGCAATAGCCACAACTCTGAAAGCCTGGTGGACATTTTACGAATTAACTAACAACACCATTTCACCCACCGAGCACACTCCCATCTGGAACAATCCTGACTTTCTAATAAACAGAAAACCTTTACATTTCAAATCATGGATCGCCAAAGGCATCACACACCTCAAACATATATTTCATGAACACAAGTAATTCCATTTTCTGATTTGGTCCAGAAGTACGGCATCAGGGAACATCAATATTTAGAATATTTACAACTCAAATCATCCATTCAAACCAAAGTTAACAGCAAAACGTTGAACTCTTATCCCCCCTCAGAAATATTCCAAATCAATTTAAGAATAAAACTGCTTTCAAAAATATATAAATTAATTTTATTCTGCAGACTTAACAATGTCCATCCCCTCAAATAAATGGGAAAAAGATCTCCAGATCACCCGAGTGCCGACTTCTGCTCTCAAATTTGCACAAACATCTTCTCCATATCAACCAACACCAACATGCACCTCAATATAAGATTATTCACAGAGTGCACTACACAGGGGAAAGGATGTTTAAAATGGGTTTTGTATTATCTCACATCTGTCCTCGTTGCTCACTTAACACCACAGACACCTACATGCATGCCACATNCTAGTGGGATGTATGGGGCGGGCCATTCTGCACATATTTTAACGCAATTAATTCAAAAAATTAATTACCGCCGTTAACGCGATAATTTTGACAGCATCTAATGCTGTCAAAATTATCGCGTTAACGGCGGTAATTAATTTTTTGAATTAATTGCGTTAAAATATGTGCAGAATGGCCCGCCCCATACATCCCACTAGTGGCAGCGCTGGGGTAGGCTACAGCCATACCAACAAATGGCTTAGCCCCACCATGAAAAATGATGTTAAAGTAAGCAAAATAAAGTCCGCCAACTTGCGCGGAGCACGGACAGCAGTTAGTAAGATTGATTTCAGTAGCCACTTGTCTGGAAATACCGAAGACTAGAAACGGTTTTAAAACTTTTGTCACGTACTGATCGTCTTCTCAATAGAACATCTTTGATAATGTCTTCTGGCCAATCAGAATCAAGATAACGGCATGGTGTTGTTGCAGGAAGTCCTGACGGAGAATACTTTTGCTGTAGTACATCTCTATATACATCGATACAACATTACGTGTTGATAGAAATCTACACGTAATGAAATAAGACCCACGGTTTGATGATTGATAGGTGTGGGGCTGTCTTTCATTTTGACACACAGAACAATGTTATAATAAACATACTGTATGTTAAATGGATATATCCGCCTTCTTTCATTTATCTTTCCATTCCCACAACAATATACATAAAGAAATGGCATATTTTGGACATAGTTCAAATGGTGATTAATCATGATTAATTAATTTTTAAGCTGTGATTAATCTGATTAAACATTTTAATCGTTTGACAGCCCTACTTTTTACCTATCCTTTATGTTATTGTGTTTTTAAATGAGCAACTGGTAAAAAAGCAATTCCCTCAGGATACATTTCATATTCTAATTCTAATTCTGACTCAAAGTGAAAAGAAAGCCTGTTATAACCCACACCGTAGTGTGCATGAACCTGGACAACATGCTCATTAGTTCTGAAACTGTGCTCTGACGTCATTAGAACAGAATATAGATCAACAGACCCCTTTTTAAGAAAATAAGGTGATGCTGAGCTGTTGCCAAGCAACTGTTGCATCTGTGCCAGATGTTTTTCAAATGTCAGCCATGTCACCATGGTGATGTGAACGACACAAGTAAATCAGTTTGGATAAGAAAGACTGAAATCAAATAAAAAGATGAAGTAAACTAAAAAAGATAATGTTTCATTGATTCAGTTTGTGTAAACTGAAAATACACAGACAGAATTTAAAGTCATACCAACAATTCTAAATTAAAGATACACTGTGTGCAAAAGCTGACATTACGAGCCATGCCAAATCATTTGGGGAACAAAACGTAAAATCAAGGCATTTTCATACCTAAAGAATTCTTACGTTTTTGCAAACCTTCCTGAGCTTTAAGGGAGGAAGGTTTGGGGAGGCAGTAATGCTTGTATGTGTTTTTTTAAAGCTTGTGCAGAAAGCTGTGTCTAAAGCATACGGCAAACAAACATAACATTGACTTCAGTGAGTTTCTTCCTGTTGCTAATCAAGGAGCCTACAAATATAGATACTTTTGGTTCAATGTTGTTAAAAAAATGTGATTAATGAAGGATAATCTGAATATGATGTTATTATGTAATGAGTCGATTGTTTCTTTATATTCAATGTAACAACATTTTAGTTTATCTCAACTTGTATAACTTTCGAACCCATGCTTTGTTTCCTCGCTGTTGCTGCTGCGACACCTGAACTCCCCTGCGTGGATCAATAAAGGTTTATCTGATCTTATCTCAGGTCAAGTTGACTTCGAGCAGAGAACTTACACTAACAGCAGCTTCTGTGGAGGCAGCTTCCTCTGCCAATCGCATGGCTGGATTCTCAGAGGGCTTGAACACAGGTTTGGCTTTGATGGGGGGAGGCGGTGGTTTGGACTTGGCCACCCGAGGACTGCTGTCTGGACCGGCATTGTTTCCAATCAGCTGACCAATAAAACTCTTCTCATAGCGTTCTCTGTTGGAGGAGGGAACTACTTCCAAGCGGACAACCTGGGAGCGCATCGCCTGACGGAACACTTCCTGAGCTCTGAGAGAGAAAAAGAGACGGAGAAATTAGTGATGAGTTCAGAGCAACTAAGGAAAACATTCAGAAAGTGTTGTGTATAAGTTTGTGTATAGGTGCATGCATTTATCACTCAAACTAATCATGGCATAAATCACAGCTACATAAAGTGTAAAATCATCAATCTCTGACAAGCAAAGTCATTATGGAAGGATATAAAACTCAATTAAGAGGGAAAAAAACAAAGATACATTGGCAAATGTGTCTTTGGAATATTATTTTTGATGAATACAAGATAAAAAACAATTAAATGCAAATTATAATAAATGGTGTGTTGGATTTTTGAAGATTTCAATACACTGGTAAATATCTTAGGCTCATATGTCTTAAACTGATTTTAATTGATTTTTAATTCCAAGATTGATAAATATTGCCGTAACTAATTATCGTTTTTATTGGCAATTACTTTTCAAAGTAATTCAACTGATTATCTAATATAAACGACAAGGTATCCGTCAATAATCCCATATTACATTTCAAATGATAAAACAGCAAAAAGTAGATTATAATATTATTGTTAAATAACTTGGAAACCAGTGCTCTATTCTATGGTTGAGTTTCCCAGCATGTAGAAAAGTGATTTTTTTTAAGACTGGTGTATCAAAATACAACTATTGTGTCATGTTTTGATGAAATGGATGGGTCTGTTTTGGTGTCGGTCTACGTCAGCGATTCTCAACTGAAGTCCCAATAGGGTGCCAGGTGGAATTCCGGCACAATGACAATGTTTTTGATTTTGTTATGTATATTTCTAATGTCCGATGACATTGTTGTCTGGATAGATATTTTGCTTTGGTAAAGTATGTGAGACACTGTGCATCAGGGATTCTTAACTTGAATCCCAATAGGGTGCCACGCGGCCCACCGACCATTGATTAACAATGAGAATCTTTTTGTTTTACATTCTTTATGAAGGAAAACAAAAAGTGTAGGAATCCCCCGGACCATCCAACAGAGGTCTGGGCTAATAAGCACTTTTTCCAGAGAAAATTAGTAAATGTTTTTCTACTTGAAATAATTGATCTTTGTTTATCAGATGGCACCCAGCCTCTTGTTATTTTGCAAAAATGAAACCTGAGAAAGCATATCCCGTGTTTGGAAAATGTGACAGCAAGTTTAACCATATCAGGTCAAATCAAATGCTTTTCTTTTTTATTTAAAATAAAACATGTATGTTAGATTGAGATGTATATTGTGGTAAGCTTTAGTTCATTATTCTAAGCTGCTTTATACTGTAAATTGTCATCGTTTATTTGAATTTTCCTGGTGGCTGACTGTGTGATGCGTATTTATCATTATTGGAGCAAAGTGAAGGCAGGAGCGAACAGGAGACGCAACAGAGAACAATGACACCTGTGCAGCAGGCCATTATAATCTCATGATCCATAAGAGAGATTGTTTTGCAGAGAATTACTTTATATCAGATTATGCTAAGTAAATTAGGGGGACCATTGTGTCAGGGGTGATTGGTACACACCATCATTCACCTCAGATAACAGACAGAGAAAATCCACTTTATTTAAATTCTATTAGATCACTCTCCTATTATTTCCCGCCGAGATTATTATTAGATGTAAAATGATCATAAAGTTTCTGTAACTAGAGACTATGTTTAGAAAGTTGTGTATAAAGGATATTCACTATTTAATACATTAAATTAGCAATAATAATACTTTCAAATGTTATATTTAACAGAAAGAAAGACATGCAGGCATACATCTGGTGATAAAATGTCACTTTGGGCAAGTTCCATCTTAATAAATATTTAACCAGTGGTTAAATGTACACTGTATTCACAATCTATGTATTATAAATGAATATTTAGCTTTGTTTATACTTAGGTTTCCAACTGAAAGTACCTGTAAGTCTTTGTGAGTGTTTCTGGTTTACTTAAACTCCACTTGGTAATATGATCATGTGTCTAAGAAACGAAGATAACAAAAGCTCTTAGCAATTACATGCACCAAACTCCATGGGCAGCCAAATTAAGAAAATATATGGTGCAAATGATTGATAAAAAAAATGACTGTGGATACGAATGAACAATTTCCATTCATAAAAATAAGGAATTAGCACCTTAAAATGCCATGGATAATATGATGTTGTATGGTAATCCAAAAAGTGGTTTCTAGGCGAGTTAAAGCATGGGTTGTCATATTTTCTTTATTATACTCTGACTGAATTTGCATAATGAAACCATTAAACACACTGGGCAGTCTGAGCAAATGCTTGTGTCTCACCTTGCAGAATGACACTTTTTTTTTATTGTAGAAAGACCACAATGCAGAACAATATAACTACCGTAATTTTCGGACTATAAGGCGCACCTGAATATAAGCCGCAGCAGCTAAATTGAATGATGTGTACATATATAAACCGCACTGGACTATAAGCCGCAGGTGTTTTTAATGTTTAATTACCATATGTATCGGTTCGTGCACAGAGGGGATTGTCGGGAAAGAGATGGCTGTTTGAGGAAGCTCCCATTTATTAACATTTCAACAAACAAGTTGAATATTTGCATAGCGTATTCAAGTGTTACCATTTAGTGCAATAGTAGCTACAAAACATGTACTGTGCTGTGTAAACTGTACTGTATCACATAGCGTTTCAGACACACAAACTTTTCAACTTTCAAACTCCCTCCCAGCGCACGTACCGGCAGTGATCTACAGCAGCGGTTTTCAACCAGTGGTACGGGGACAAACTGTCTCGCTCTCGTAATGTCTGTCTGTCTTGCTCTCGTTCTGTCTCTCGTACCACTCTCGGTTCCACTTTTACTTTTGCGCGCTACCTGTCTCACTCTTTTCCGGCCTCCAGCTTTTCCTGCTGGAACCCGCCGCTCAAAGGTGGGGGTCCGCGGACCGGCCATAGAGCCGATAGAGTTAAAGGTGGTGGACTGTAACCTGTAAAATCCATAGATTTAGGAGGTCCCCTAGTGGCCGTTAGCTGTACAAATCCATAGATTAGCCGCACCGTTATATAAACCGCAGCGTCGAAAAATGGGAAAAAAGGCGCGGCTTATAGTCCGAAAATTACGGTACATGTTAGTTGACGTGTGTGAAGTCAGTGGCACAGATACTGTCATTGTTGTTGGACAATGGATGCCGAACACCTTCATGTAAGAATATTCTATCAGACAATTGGCGAAGTGTGTGTGTGTGTATGTGTTATGTGTATGGAATCAGACAATGGAAGTGTGTGTGTGTGTATGTGTATGTGTATGAGTATGTGTGTGTGTGTGTGTGTGTGTGTGTGTGTGTGTGTGTGTGTGTGTGTGTGTGTGTGTGTGTGTGTGTGTGTGTGTGTGTGTGTGTGTGTGTGTGTGTGTATGCAAGTCTGTGTTCATGGAAATGGCACACATAGGATTCAGGGGACTTGCACTGGCCTACTTGCATATATTTTACTGGAACAAACAAACCTTGTCAATAATCTCGCCGTGACAGAACAATATGGGCAAGAAGGTGTGTGTGTGTGTGTGTGTGTGTGTGTGTGTGTGTGTGTGTGTGTGTGTGTGTGTGTGTGTGTGTGTGTGTGTGTGTGTGCACGCGCACACGTGTTATTGTGTGTAAAATCATGCTCAAACCTGTCATATGTTCAAATGTCAGAAAATGGCCTGTCAAATTCCCTAATTATAGACCTGTTTTTGTTATGAATATATATTTATTACGTGTGTGTGCGTGCATGCGTGCGTGCGTGAGTGGACTCGGGCCCATTCACCTATCTTTGAACAATATGTAGCAAAGCCATCCGGTGATAATCCGTTTACCTACAGTAGAGCATAACACATCTCTCATATAATCTCATTACCACCCTGAACGCTGGACAAGGACTATTGTGTAGACTTCATAGACGATGTAATGTGCTGTAATCATGATAACACCAACATCAGTCCTTCCATCTGTAGGAAATCGTTCTTACAGGTGTGTCTTTTGTCATGTTAATGCTCTGTAATCATGTTACATACTTAAATACTCGTGTTAATGTACTTCTCTTCAGGTGCTTCAGCGGTATAGTAAGCAAACTCCAGTGTGAAACATCTGCTGTCGAATGGATCTTGAGCAAATCTTCCCTTAGAGGAATGAAGTGGAGCAACACACAGAAGCCGGCTCTTATAAACACACACATGAATGAATTTGTAAGCAATGCTCTCCAAACATCTGCCAAGTGTCTTTTCTGCTGTTGTCTGTGATGGCTGTGCAACAGTGATATAAGCCCTCTGACAATGGAGAGGGACATAAAACACAGAGACAGAGGCAGCAGGAAGAAAAGACAGACTTGGACAGACTTGATAGGATGTTAGACTAGAATGCATTTGCTCATATATAAACTTATTCTTAAGTTTTTTATTTTGCTGATCATTTTATGTGATTGTTCAATACTTTTTCATTTACATAAATGTGATTGAAAGCTCAATTGCACATTTTAAAAGCTTACGTCTCCCTTTTTACAAGGTTTATTCGCCTAAATCACATATGTGTGTGTCTACTGTATGTATATGTAGGCATATAACCAGCATATTTATATTCTATCCCTGTAGCAATTCAGACAGCTATTGTTCCTATTCCATGTTATATTGAGGAAGACAGAAACCTTGAAGGCACATTTATGTAAACAGGGGCAAACTCCTGTGTGGATTGGCACCACTAATGTAGGCAAGATAAGAGCTTCACAATTTGGACAAAATAAGTTATTGTGATCATTTTGACTGATATTGCAACCGCAATATGATCCAAGATATGGGAGGGATTGATCGTTTAAAAAATGTTCATTGATAGATATATTAAAACGATAATGAAAGGATGGGTTACAAATATGTTTTGTTAAGTCTGTATAATATGATTTGTCGGCTGGGATATCTCTGCAGCCACAAAACATCCTTAATCATAAAATGGTTTTTGAACACATACTTTGCCCTAAACCAATATTTGGCTTTTTTGCGATTTGAATATTCCACTAGTTCTTATTCAATTTGATTTTACATTAACTTTTTGTGAGATTAAGCATTCTTTTCAAAGTTGTGTGAACCGACCCTTTAAATAAATAGCCATACACAAACTTAAAATCACAAAATGAACGCATAATGTAATGTAAAACACGTTGTTAAAGCGTGAATCTTTATCTATGTTGTTGTTTGACACACTACAGATATTGTACAGGAAATGAATGTATCTGTAATATTATGGGGGCTTGCTTTTGTATGAGTCATGTCTTCACCCCCTGTTCACAAACACTGTGTTGCACTCACTGGCTGAAGGTCTTGTCCATGAGGTCCTTATTGTTGATCATGACTATACACTCGTCCTCTTGGAACAGGCCTTCCTTTCGTGAGCGGCTCTCCTCCTCCACTCCGCGGATGAACAGACCGAGAGACCTGAAAGGAGAAGAAGAGGGGTTAAGGTCTGTTCCCATCACTTCTACTTTTGTAGATACACAAGCAAACAGACTGTCTTTAGAGTGACTTTCTGTGTGTCCCAGAGGACGGATGTGTCTGATGGGGTGACCCCCAGAGAGTGTCTATATGTTTACTTAGACACTGCTGACAGAAAGAGCCCCCAACTATCTGTTTGTCTCTTTCTTTGTGAAACTGTTGGAGAAAATACTGTTGTCTCCTCTTTGGGTTTGTTTTAATGCACTGATGTCATGTGTGATTCTGAACTGTGTACAACCTCTTTGTGATAGGAGGAGGCAGGGCATTTCAGGTTGTTGATCTTTATGAGGAGACAGACACATACTTGTTGTCTCCTACATATCTAATTGCTATGAGGCGTGAAGGAAGTCCAGAAGACGTCACAGATGACCCATCGCAGATGACCCGGCGCTTTTCCGACACCCACCTCGATTTACGACTTTGTTGTTATCTCCTGTATTTTGGATCTTATTAGCCTGATGTTTTTTCCTGCTCCGTTGAGCAACATACCCCATGTGTGTGAGTTAAACCATATCCTTTGTATGTGATTTAACTCTGCTCCTTCTTGCAAGAATAAATTAGTACCTGATTATTGATTCTCAACCTGGTGTTGAGTGATATTTTCGTAACAGAAACATTATTAGTGCTTATATAACTCACCTTAAACTGATAAGCAAAGTGTTCAACTAGCAGATAACAAGACAGGTAGGTCAATTACCAAAGATAATATGACTGAAAAGCACACACAAACTTAAGACATAAAAAGTGTGCCGACATGTACAACATGAAAATGTAAAGTGACAAATATACAGGCAGCCACTACGATGGTCATATAAACTGATGCCCTTTCTTATTATGCTTTGGGGGTTTTCTCTTTCCTGTTGTGTGTTATCTAAATGGTCTGCAAAGAAACAACTTCCAGAGGGAGTTTCTCTCTCAGACACTCCCCTGCCTGAAACACCTCCAATGGACTCCTTTGTTTTCATTTACAGAATGACATCACTATGTGACACTCACGCTGCTATTGGCTAGCTCTCTAGCGCATCGTACATGATTTACAATTTTGAAGCCTGAAGGTGAGCATGATAGGGCCCCTTTAAAGAGATAGTTCACGGCAAAATAGAAAATACGTCCTCTTACCTGTAGGGCTATTTATTAAGTTAGTTAGTTTTGGGGCTTGTTGGAGACCTTTGTCGTAGAGATGGCTAAGTTATCTCCAATATAGTGGAACTAGCATTGTTGCTTGCTTTTTGGCTGGTCTAATTCAGTACAAAGAAAATAGTTGTTACATAAAACCGCTCACAACTACATTTGGTGGATAATTCTTTAGTAACAGGGTCAACATTTATATAAGGAAGCATTGTTGATTGTTTTGTTTTATTGTTGGTGCAATGAGCACCACAAACTGAATACCAAGTAGTTCCTTTATATTGAAGAAAAATGTTTGATTTGTTTACAACTGATATCTCCAACACTGAAAACCAACACCAAAATGGTCTAGATTGATAACTTGCCAGGTAAGAATGTATTTTCAATGTTGGGGTGCACTGCCCCTTTAATATGAACCTTTGCCTTACTAAATCACAGCTTAACAAAGCAGAGGTGATGACTGTGACACTCTAAAGATGTCAGCTGCAAGAGGATGAAACTAGGCTAAGAGGTGAAAGGGATGACGGGAAATGGTGGAAAGAGATGGAGGTGTTTAGGAAAATGTTGGGAGGAGGATAAAGGAAAAAAGAGAGTGAGGAATTTAAGGAGGAGATTGGCGGGGTCAGGTGAGTCATGAGAACAGCCATAAAAGCTCATCCTGCTTTGCTGTAGGAAATCCCCGTCCACTGTCTGACTGTCTCACACCCAGAGAAAAGCTCTGCAATTTCCCCTATTTTTTCCCATTGCGTGAGAATGTGTGTTTGTGCACCAACGTAGAGAATTCCTCATAAACGCAGACATTACATTACATGTCACTTGTTAGACGCTTTTATCCAAAGCGACTTACATACTCAATACTCTGGACAATCCCCACAGGAGCAATTTGGGGTGAAGTGTCTTGCCAAGGGACACAACGACATGCTGACTGCAGTGGGGTTTGAACCTGTGCTCCCCTGATCTAAACACCAACGCTCTATCCACTGCGCCACACGCCTCCAGGGACCAAGAGTATAGGCATATTATGTAACGCAGCAGATAAACAAACTATATTGGTTAAAGGGCAGAATTAGGGCTTGTTTCGATGAGTGTTTCTTTGTGTGTGTGCATTTTTGTTTCTGTGTGTTGGTCTGCGTTCACACAACTTACCGTCCACTGAGGGATGAGCTGTAAGGGACCACGTGGATTCCCAGAGGACTGTCATCTCCCAGGATCTCCACTGTTCTAGTCAGGCTGCACAGTTGAGCACACAAACACAGAATACAATGATTAGGGGAAAAACTAAAAAAATATACTCAAATATGTTTGAGGTAAAGTTGTGTCACAGTAACATGAATGGAACCTTTGTGTTTTGTTTGCTTCCAGACACATTTGCATAATGACTCAACAGCCAGGGACCCATCTGTGATCAAAGCTAACTACTGGAATGATGTGAATAACACATGACTCATAAAGATGTCGTACACATATGCACAGATGAAGTAAAGAAGGATTAAAGCAGAAAAACAGGACCATAACACATGTCTACTGTTGTAGTCAAGCTGCACAGATGAACACAGACACCAAAGACATGAAACCAATGAGATAAACCACAGGATATGTAATATTACTTCACAAAAATAAAACACAGGTAGAAGTTATTTCACTGTAAAAAAAAGAGCAGATTTAAGTTCTATTCTATTTGACAAATAATGATTACGCATGAACAAATACCAGGATAAATGTTTTGAAAATTTGAATCTGAAGTCAGAAGCAGAAACCTTCATTTAAAAATTAAATAAATTAAAAATAAACAACAACAAAAAAGAATACAAATATGTATAAACATAAGAAGTTGAAGTAGGAATGTTGAATTAAAACTAAAACAAATAAAGCAAAATGTCCTCAACAAATGTAATATAAATATTTATACAAATAAAATAATTTAAAGGTACATCTGCAACGCAGGACGTCAAAGAAAACCACAGAAGAAGGCAGACAGGAAGTGAACACTAATGGGAACATGGAATGGGCTCTTGCATTGTTTAAGAACTTGTTAGTGGAAGAAAAACTGTAAACACACTTGGACAGTTACAGTGAATATTGATCCGTGCAACCGTTATTTAAAGTTACGTCATTGTTGCCGCAGTTCGAGCCGATAGTACGCTGTAGAACGGAGTATTTTTTTCATAGTGGAAGCAATATGATCATTTTTAATTCAATAAAATAGTTTTAAATCAATGTTATGAGTGAAGCTGTTGGTTTATTTTGCATGTGGCTGTGTGAAAAACAGGACAATGTGCAGCGAGGCGTACATTCATGAAAAAAGAACACCCGACTGATTAGATGTATAATGCATAACAATGTGTGTCTTCTAAAGGAAAACTTTGAAAGTTCTATCCTGGATTGATACATCACTTCCATGGAAGCTTTCAGCGTGCTAAAAACACTTTTTTGTTGGGGCCTTAATCCCTGTCTGTGAACCCGGCCCTTAGACAGGGGAGAGCAGACAAAGTCAAAACAACTGCTCTGTCTCTGCGTGTGAGCTCATGTTTTTCAAAACTTTTTTTTGTGTGCCATTCATCTCAATGGGCTTCTTCCTCTCTTTCAATCTCTCAATGTCTCATTTGGGTTATTCGAGTGTGTCTGCTTTACATTCTGTCTGTGTTTTTAATGTGTGTGTGTGTGCGTTGAAGTCTTTGTTTGTTTGATTAGTTTATCTATCAGAGCACAGCCATTAATCCTCCCCTGACCTTCTCCCTGCTCCCTGTGTGTGTTTTTTTCTAAGTGAGTTTGTCTGAACTTAGTTTTGTACTCTTTAGTTCTACACTCCTCTCTAGACCATCCATCCATCCCTAAACCCTCATGAACTGATAGCAGTGCAGATGCTGATAGAATCCAGAGAGAGGCTAGTTGATGATTCCTGGTTGGCAACAGGGGGAAATATGCAAAGTACAAAAACAAGGTCTCCCTGATGCCGCCTCATAGTCACTCAGCAAATGTGAGTTAATCCAGACAATGGCAGACAAGGGACTGCTAGAGAGAGGAAGGCCAGGGCAGAGGGAGGAAGGATGGAAGAGAGAGAGTGAAAAGAAAAGGAAAAGATGTGGGGAGGGAAGAATAGCAAGGATGGAGGAAACAAAGACAGACGGAGATAATGTGTAGGAGTGAAAGGAATGTTGGAGGAACAAATGGAGACAGTGGTTAGGTAAAAAGATGCAGTGGCAGGAACAACTCAAATGTATTCCTAGTTTCATAATATATACTAATTATAATGTCTTGAGTATGTACAGTAGTGTTAACACTTGCAAAAGGATTCAAAACTATCATAATGCATGATATGTCTAGCTGATGAAAGCTGTAAATTATATGTATTTGTAGATTTATAATTTTCTGTAAAAAAACATTTTAATTGGCAGTTTCAAGGATGTCCAATGCTGGAAATATTGTATAACTTCCTGTTTGTGTGTGAAGGCTTGAAGGGTCCCTATTATGTTTTGGGGGTTATCCCTTTCCTGTAATTTGTTATGTAGGTCTTGGTGCATGTAAAATGTCCCTCCCTCTCCCACACACTACTCCCCCTGCCTGAAACACCTCAATTGGACTCCTTTGTTTACCTCTGTAACATAGTGACATCACAATGTAACACTTGCATTTATATTGGCTAGCGCTCCAACACATTGAAAATGGGGGGTCGGACATTCCTGACACATCTCTAAGCAGTTACCAATCACAACAGAGCCGGCCAGCTAACCAATCAGTATGATTGTATGAGAAAAATCAAGAGCTTTTGANTAAATGTTAAGGTAAAATAAGATATGAATGAGCAACATTAATAAAATAAGTTACATTAATTTGTTATTGGCTATGCTCACTGCATGTGTGTTCTGTGTTCACCTCTGCATGTGTGTTCAGTGCTGTGTGTCTGGCAAATAAAGTCAAGACCCCCTCAAAAGTTACGGTTTATTTCATTTTAAGGATGAGCACCAAGCAACATCTCCAGGTGCTCCTTTGAAAACCAGGGCAAAAAAGTTATGTGCACCCCATTACCCACCATTAGGTATATTAGGAAAATAATATCACAATCCTTTCGACCGAATATCTTGATATAAAAAATGCAACAATCTTGTGAGGTTGACCATGCTGTATTTACTCAATGAGGATTTTGATAAATAATCAGTAATAAGTATTCTTTGACCAAGCGGTTAAAAGGCAAATAGGCTAATCGAAGAGCGAGAAAAACTTACTCCAATTTACTATAAATCAGCATTTTAAACTAAGAAAATACTAGTCATATAAAAATATCTAAAAGTAACTAAATGATTGACAAAATGTTTTGTGATTTAACATCACAATAACAATATAACATCGACATGTTTCCCAGCCCTACCCACCACTGCTTATACGGTTGTGCTTAGGACCCTAACTCACTCTGTGTGCCTCTGTAAACTTCAGGTGTGGATCCTCCTGCAGGTCCAGGGGGCCCTGGGGGTCCTTGCTGACCATCATAGCCTCTCCCTGGCTGACCGGGGGGCCCCTGAGGGCCTGCTGGCCCAACGATGGAGTCTCCTCTTGGACCCTGAAGCAACAAAGACAGGAAAGTATTTAGATTTGGATTTTCAGAGCACAGATTGACTCTTTAAAGCTTTATATTTCTGATCTTACCGGGGGTCCAGGTGCTCCGGCCCCGCTCACTCCATATCGGGGGTCATAATATCCCCCGGCCGGTTCTCCTTTATCCCCTTTGTAGCCCGGGGTGCCACTTTCCCCTTTCATCTCATTCTGCACATATGAACAAACACCCAAGACATTAAAAGATAATAGTTCTTGTGGGGGAAACTTCTTAAGCAATTGGAAACAGGACTCAGAGAGACACGAGGAGAGCTGGAGCTCTGGTGGCAAACACTGACGGTTTATTTGGAGTTAAGGCTGGAGAGTTGACAAGACAGGTGGTGTGTCACGAGTTGACACAGCGGTTGCCAAACCAATTCTGAAGAACTCTTTCTGCAGCTCGAGGTTTTAACTAGTTCGGAGTGTAATAATCAACATTCTTCATCAGTGAGACTAAACTAATTATGGACCCTGAATCTAACTAGAGCTCTCGTCCATAGGAAAGAATGTACGCCAGGGAACCTTCGTCCCTGAACGGTAAACGACCTCATGGCGGCTTGTGCTCTGTCACAGACTGGCAACAACAATGCGCCCAAGCAGCCCCTCCTTAAGAGAGATAGCAGCAATACCCAAGGCCGTAGAACCATGCCATGGGAAAGAGATAGTGAGAGGAGAAAATGATGAACTGTGTCCAAGGTTAAATACCTAAGCAAATGATTCCCCAACAGTACTGATGGTCATAGTTTTGAACAGAAAGGCACACTTACCCTCAGGGAGTAGATGTCAAAGGTCGACCCGCCTCCTGCACAGAAACAAAACGTCTTGCTATGAATTTCATCTTTTTTAAAAAGCTATTTGTTTTTGTCCACAGGAAATGTTACGCTACCTGTAATCTCAAATCTGCCTGGGGGTCCGGGGTCCCCTTTATCTCCTTTAGCAGCTTTAAACAAAAAGCACAGCAACATTAGATCAAGTAAAACACCTGCAGTTTAGATAACATTGTGTTTATCCCAAAGGAATAAAGGAATAGATTGATGCGCTCATTCGCTTCATTCTTTATCCTATAGGTCAAACCAGCTACTCCATTTTTAGTTACAGGCATAAAAGTGGCATTCATCTTCTCTAGAAATATTGATTAAAAAAAGCAAAGCTAATACAAATTAAACTTACCGTGGTTATATCTGGAATGATCGTCATATCCCTGCAATTCCAAAAGATAACATCCATTATTAGATCAATAAATTGCAACATTTAAGTTAAGCGATCTCTAATTGTCCCCCATATACTTCAATTCAGATTCAAATGAAGGACATTACTTAAACAGATAAGTCCTAAATTAAGTTAAATCTAAGTAACATGATACATTTTCTTTTTACTCACTCCCTGTCTGTCTGTGGGATAAGATCCAGGAGGTCCGGGGGGGCCGGGGGGACCTGGAACACCCTGGAACAAAACAACAAATATTCATTAATATGAACGAATGTTAAAAGCTTCAAGTTAATGGGACTGAAATTGAGGCTTTTGAATAAAGATCTGAGAAACTCACAGGGTAACCAACTCCAGACCCAGATCCTGATCCTGAGTCTCCCTTCTCTCCTCTGACGCCGTTCAGCCCCGGGCGACCCTGAAATAAATCGGAGTTACATTTTTGTCACATAAAATATATCAACAAACGTCAAAACCCTAAACAATTCTGACTGCGGGGACTCCTACTGGCACTGTGGAGTGGATCGTACCATTTTTAAACCGACTTGATATATTGGTTTAGTAGTCATTTTCAACTTGTAGAAGCTCAGATACACATATAAAATATATTAATAATTCAATAATCAATAATAACTTATTTCTTTTGAAACCAAACCAAAGCCAACTTATTCTGACAGAGAAGACTGAAGCCTTTTGTCATGACCCTTTATCAGGGGCGGACTGGGACTAAACGTATGAATTATAACAATTTAGTGTATCACACAATTAATTAAATTCACCGTTCTTGTTTTTTAAATTTTGTTAATACTCTAATTTGGAGCAACCCCTGGATAAAGGTTTTTTTGAAAATCAAATGTTTTATCCTATATATTAAATGTAAAGTATAATGTCCACAATCTGATGATAAAGTAAATGATATTATTTGATATACTCACAGGTCTGCCTGGAATCCCAATCTCTCCTTTATGTCCTGAAGCACCATAAGGACCCTGGAGAGGAAAGCATTTCATACAGGTCAATTTAAATGATTCACTTATCGTATGTACTATCAGCAAAGCATTTCAAATGTGGTGAATACGAATATGGTACTCACTGAAGGTCCCTCAGGGCCCGGGGGTCCAGCGTCACCCTGTGAATAAATACAAATAAACACTGAGAACACTTTTATGGATTAATACCTGCTTACATCCCTGCACTGTCAAAAGTAAAGGACAGTAGTTAGGCTAGTCTGAGCTGTGGTGCAGTAATAGTGAGGTCATCCTATTATCTGGTCATTTCTTACCGGACGTCCTGCAAGACCCCCGAGGTACTGAGGTCTCCCGTCCGGCCCCAGGATGATACCAGGCTCTCCTTTCGCCCCCTAAATAAAAACAACATGTATTGCAATCAACCAGTATAGAATGAGACGAGAAAAACAAACTGATAGCGAGGAATACTTGGATAAGAAATGACATATAGGTGCTCAAATAGAATTAAAGCCAGGACTGTCTCAGAAAATTAGAATATTGTGATAAAGTTCTTTATTTTCTGTAATGCAATTAAAAAAACAAAAATGTCATACATTCTTGGATTCTATTACTAAATACAACTGAAATAATTGTCAAGCCTTTTATTTATTTTAATTAATTGTCTGATTATTGGCGATACAGCTTAAGTAAAACTACAATAATCCTACTACTCTAAATAANTCACCTCTGCATGTGTGTTCAGTGCCGTGTGTCTGGCAAATAAAGTCGAGACCCCCTCAAAAGTTAAGGTTTATTTCATTTTAAGGATGAGCACCAAGCAACATCTCCAGGTGCTCCTTTGAGAACCAGTGCTTGGTGCTCATCCTTAAAATGAAATAAACCTTAACTTTTGAGGGGGTCTCGACTTTATTTGCCAGACACACGGCACTGAACACACATGCAGAGGTGAACACAAGACAACATTAGCACGACCAGTAATGCTACAAGCTGCCTGTCATCACTACCCTCCTGACTGTTCTCCTGACTGTTCTCCTCACTGTCTTCCTCTCTGTCAGACATGGTAGCTGATGATGTAGGCCTACTTCTTTCTCTCTGGTTGAGTCTGCAAGTCAACAGCTTTTTTTGGGTCGAAAGTCTCTGTTGTCATCTTAGACAAGTGGATGTAATCAAATAAGTATGTGAACATAACCAATAACCTACCACAGCCAATAACAAATGAGTGTAACTTATTTTATTTATGTCGTTCATTCATATCTTATTTTACATTAACATTTATTTATTTATGCATTTTTGTATCTCTCCAGTTTTAAAGGATGTTTTTGGTTACTGTCCTATAGTATACATTGGAATGATTTAAAACCTGTTTATCCCAATAATTATAAAGGAGTGCCTTGGAAATATGTGTTTACATAAATTGTGACCAAACCGTTTGAACTTAGACTAAAGTTAACTAAACACTCAAGAGTCCTTTACGTCACTGAGCTGTAGTTATCAGCCTCTCAGTCTGACTGGAGAGGACTCTCCCTCCACATTATTGTAGAAACGTCTTCTTCTTATATCCGTTAGAGCAGCTCGCAACAGATTCTAATAACAACAGCGCCGGTACCGGTGCACCCTCCCTCTCTCCCTCGCTCACTCGCATTTTGGCTTTGAGCTGCGGGCGCCAGATAAGCCAACATTCCCCATTTTCATCACTTTTTTTCAAATGACCCGGTGCTCTTTTTTTGGCGGAGGTGCGCATGCATGTGCAGTCATGTGCAGCCCTGACTATAGTTCATATTCCATGGACTAAGTAGCATACAATTGAAGTAAAACATAAGAGTCTAAAATAAGAGCCATATGCTAGCATGCTCACAAAGATTATAATAATACAAGCTGATGTTAAGCAGGGAATGTTTCTGAAGGTCAGTATCTTAGTAAAGTATGTTACAAGTATGTTAATTGCCAATTGACCGTAACCTCAAACAATAGCTTATTTAAAAGAAGTGTTCAGAAAAGTGTTTCAGACCTGATGATATATGGTATCCTTGAACATTACTACCAAAATGAATGCAACCCTGTCATGTTCATGCTGATATGTTTTTAGATTTTAGTTTTTCTGTTGACAACAGATGAAAAGTTAGAGGATCAGCTAAGTCATTAGGTTTCATCCTCTTGGGATCGAACATGTCATTAATCCAAGAGATTTTGTTATAGATTTCAGTCTCAGGATTAAAGTGGTGAACACATTGATGAACATTCCCCTCTCTAGATCGGGACCACTACGCTTACATTAAGTACTATTTGGTTAAATGGAAAAGGAAAGAAGAAAGAGGGGACGGATAGAGAGACGAGCAAAGAAGAAAAGTAGAAATAGCAAAAGAGAAAAGATGGTAAAAAGGGAGGTACGTCTGTAAGCAACAATAGTGAAGTAAAGAGAGGAGGCACTGAATTAATTAGACAAGCTAATGAATAGCATTAATATGAGGAAAAATGTAATCCACTCCTCCCTCTATCCCTTCCTGCTGCTGTGCCTCTGATCTCTAACACTCCCACTACAACACACACACACACGCACTTCAGATCCATTTGCGTTTTACATTTTTTTGAGAGATGTTTGACAGGCTGCCTCACTGCAAAAAAATGGAAGTGGGGGTGAGAAAAGGGAGAGAGATAAAATGGGTTAGACTTGAGAAAAAAAGAGACTGTGTGCGATGAGAGAACAAGAGACGGAGAAAAAGAGCCAAACACACAGAGGCAGAGAGATGAAGAGAGCAGGTGTTCTCTTCATCCACCTGCCACTTCACTGATCCTCGCTATGAAAGACAGAAACACAGAGGAGAAATAACAAAAAGGGAGGATGTGCATTACCAAACCACTCTCTTCCTCTCACCCTCTCAACCCTCATCTCCCCTTCCTTTCTCTCTTGGCTGGTCTTTAAAGTGCACAGAAGTGGGGAGAGAGTGATGTGAAAAAAGAAAAAACGTACAATACTGCTAAAGGTTAATGTATGCAAGTACATAAACATATAATAACATTAATTTTAAAACTGTTAGTTGTTGATGAATGAGTGAGCTTATTAAAATAAATAATTAAAGCTGCATGAATTGCTGAACGGGTCCTGACCCTTAATTATGTACATATCGGAGTAGTTGTAAGCAAGTGGTTTGAATAGTTTTAACTGATGTAAATCGTCAAAAACTGTGTATTTTTCTTCGACTGAAAACCTCATTGCTTGATATAATTTGAGCTCTCCATTCTTTATTTGAATTTTAGCGTCAAAATGGAGAAAAAAATTCCAATAAACAAAAACGCAATATTCAAAATGGGAGACTTCCGGGAAGGGCGGGGCTAATAAAAGCCAATCTGAAATATGTTCACAACGATAAGAGCAATGTGGGTACAACATCTTGTGAATATCAGAGCACTTATATCCAACAAGTTTGGAATGTTGGACATGTGTAAATTGTCAAAAATGTGGTCTTCAGCCTTGACCTATAACCCTATCATTTGAGCTATTGAGTATTCCTTCGCAATTTATCGTCAAATGTGTCAAAGGGTTATTTCACATGAAAATTCAACTCAGGACAAATATATTATTCAAAATTGGAGACTTCCAGGGAGAGTGGTGTTAATGAAAGTCTATTTTGTTATTTCCACAATAAATAGGGAAATGTGCAAACCGAATTTCTGAAAACATTGGAATAATTGTATGCGACCAGTCAATAGGGGGCGCCAGAGAGTCCGCTGGCAACTTTCAAAACATGTCACTACAGTTTGAGCCAGTCCTGACGTCTGTGCCAATTATTGCCACCTTCAAGCATTTTGAAGGGTAGCTCAGGCCCCCTCAAAATGAAGTGTAGGTATACTGAGTTTATGGCCCTTTTTAAAAAGTGAGTGTAGAGAGTATCGTATGTTCCTCTGATGAATAGAAGTGTTATAATAACATATAAATATACTCTTTCACATCCTGTTTGTCTAGTGCATCCAATGAAACCTATTTACCTTTTCACCTCCTAGCTTCTATTACACAGTACCTTATTCCACAAAGAAATATAGTATGATGGCAATGCTATTTCAATAAACCAATTTACAGTAAATCTGTTTCCCGGTATAAAAAGCACATTTTGATTCAAAGGTAATGAGTTTTGCGGTGACCGTGCTGTGTGGTTAAAATTATGACGAGCCATTACTGTTTTTATAGGTGTAGCTTCACACAAAGGCGCACACATGCACATGCACACATGCACTCGCACACGCACGCACACGCACACACACACACACACACACACACACACACACACACAATACACACCAGCAGAAAGTCATATAGAGCCACACACACACATTTATTCATTTAACTTACACTTATGCTGTTCCAATATTTATGGCAGCCCTCCTCTACTCATTTTGGACTTTTTTGCAATTTCAGGGATCGTTTCCCCGGCGACCACAGAAACCATTACATCACTTTTACATTACTCACAGCTGAGATGGTTTCTCTGTGAGTGTGTGTACATGAGATGATGTGTAAAAAAAGAAGTTCATGAGAATATGAAACAAATGTGTTTGTCTTAAATAATTAGCTATATATCCACTTCATTGGACTCTATAGTAACATAAGGCCAAATCAAAATAAAATACTACCAATATTCTCCTATTCACTTCAATCAGTCGTTCACATTAAGTTATTTTACAAAGAACTTGTTTTCTCATCATGCATTCAGGGACAGATCACAAATGTTTTTAACGTAACTCAACAGAAGCACTGAGCATGTGTGTGTGTGTGTGTGTGTGTGTGTGTGTGTGTGTGTGTGTGTGTGTGTGTGTGTGTGTGTGTATGAACACAAGTTTCTCTTTGTTCTGTGGATGCAGATGGTTCCTATTGAGAAGATCAAACATTGTTTGGCTGACATCAAATGCTTTAGCTCTCTTATAAGTCTGATTGTATAAAGGTCTATAAGAAAAAGACCCTATTTCTCACTTCCTTCAAGTTTATGGTCTCAATTCAAGTCTTTTTTGCATGATGTTCATTTAGTTAATTATCTTTCCATTTAGAGTAAAATAGACAAAAAAGCAGGGTTTACTTTAAGGGGTGGGAGCGACACTATCACACAGCATTTTAATACCTCATTAATATAACAGTAAATATAGAATACTTTAATACCTCATTAATATAACAGTAAATATAGAATACTGACATATCTTGCTAACCAAACTTACTAGAACTAGCATTAATTGATAACTTAGCATTTTGATGGGCTCCAAACATTAAGTATGGCGAAAGAAAAATGCCTCAAACTCAAGGCTTTAAAATGGTAATCCACACAACCAATGGGCGACATCACAGGGACAATGTCCCCTTCTTTTATACAGTCTATGAGTAATACACTGTCCATTAACAGAGGTCAATGGAGCCAGACAGAGCAGCACATTGATCAATGACGTAACGGCCATTTTCTCAGATTTACAACGTTTTCTGCCTAGGTTTTCTATTAGTCATGCTATTGCAAAGATTGGCCTTGGTTAGGTTGAGTGGACGCATGGGTTTTGTATGTTTATGAAATTATAACTTTTTATTCTCTGTAACAGACTGGGATAAATCAAGCAAATGAGAAAACATTTAATTACATTTAGTTTTTTCTGCCTGAGCCATGCGGTCACAGATGGAAAAATATGGGTGGCTGGGACATGATGCTTTCGGGGTCACATCATAATCATCACGAGTTTCCCACATCTAGGACATCGATAGAGACCACAACAAAGTCCATACTACCTGTAACATTTGATAACTTGAAAATGTCGCTACAAAAAGCCGAATTGTATCTATATTCTCCATTATTAACAATGTATTGGTTTAAATATATTTGATAAGATGCATTAGAAGGAAAACATTATTAGAAAATGACATTACAATGTTACTTCCAAGTTAAACTTCCATAATTAAGTTAGGTATTAACAAATGTGAGGGTGATTGTGGTAAACATTTTGGATGAGTTTACTTTTCCAACATGTGTGTAAAAGATATCAAATTACAAGAGTGGATAAATAAAGTAGTCTTTACGTAGTTAAGAAAATACACCTCACTGTCATCACATTATTCTGAAGCAAAGACTGACTCATTCAAAACATTACCCATGAAAAGGAACAAACGTAATGTAAGGGTGTTACGTGTTATGCGCCATGAGATCTGCTAAATACAGCAGGAAAATGTAGACGCTGAATAAAAATGTGTAGATGATTGATTCAGGTTAGCTAGGAACACGCTAACATGGGAAGAAAGTTATAATGGATTTGTACTAGGCACTGTACATGAAACCTGAGAAAAACAGACTCAAAGTTTGTAACAGGCATGGCAACTATCTGTCCGCACTGTAAAATACACACACACACACACACACACACACACACACACACACACACACACACACACACACACACACACACACACACACACACACAGCATTTTGTATCCCTATTACTTCATTAGGCAGCCCTCATTAGTGTATGCATGTTCTGTGCTCACTTGTGTCTGCCTGAAGAAAAAAAACAGTTGCAACTGTGTTTGTAGCTGTTCATTTCTAACGGCCATGTGATGTGTGTATAGCAGTCTCTACATGTTTGTGAGCGTGTGAATGTGTGTGTGACCCTGACCCCGTTTTTTCGCAGTCTTTTGTAGTGGTCTAATGATGTGGCTTCTTTACAAACTAGAACTGTAAGGGCCTTGATCTGGATTAGGATACAGCTTTAATGAAGGGAAAGTAGGACACAAACACACACATGAACATCAACAAACAGGAATGTAGACAACTGTGCATAGCTATACCAAAAATGACATAACATAAAGACAGTATGTAGACTAAAGCATAAGAGTCACAAACGCACTGACCTGTCGTTGGAGGTGTGGTTGCTGGGGGGTCGGTCTAACCCTGCTGCTTTTTCCACAGCTGGACTTGCCGCCTGTAGAGAAAACACACAATCACATTTTTCAGATTGAGTAAGAGACAGCAAGAAAAGAGCAGAACAAGCTCCAACAGCACATTCAATCCGTCGGGAAGTGGAAGACTTCATGGCTGGACAAAAGACAAAAATATAAAAAAGGGGGATAACATGAATTCCAAAACATGTGGATGAATTATCTAATACAGCTTTTTAAATAAACAAAGAACTTGAAGGAATGAGTAAGTGGAGGCATTAACAAACTCCCCGTGTTTTGGATGTTTGCTTTAAATGCACTACACGCAATATGAAGATATTGAGATTAACAAGTAAGCCTTCGCAATTTGACAGACACATAAAGGAAATGAATGAATTGACGAGTGAAGGAGCCGCTACGTTGATGGATGGATGATGTACAAATAGCAATTAATATATGTGGGCAAGAAGACAGTGTTGCCAAGCAGTAATAAATAACACTGTCAATGGGCATGGCAACCGGGAGAAAGAGGGAGAGAGGTGTGAGGAAGAAGAGTGTAAATGTGAGCCAAGGGAGCTGTAATAATGACTTAATACGATGACATGAAGTGTGTGTGTTGTATGTGACACGGAGAGGTGAGCTCCACAGGGACAGGTTACATGCCCAACAGTATAAGGATGATGAATCGTCTGACGCTCAACATGTGATAGTCTCTGTGCGTAGACACTATTATGTGAATGACTGTCATTACTACATATGTTTGAGAGTACATGGAGTTACCACTGTATCATGAATACATGTGGACTCTTAGAGAAATCACACCTTTGTTCAAAACTGCTGGACATTTAGCATATAACGTTTTTTAAAGATTGTATAGGGGAGGTATTGATTAGATTTGGTCTACAGGAAACCTAAGTCCTTATGTCGACCTAGGCCAGCTGCATCTCTACTAGCATTTTTTTGTATTTATCATGCTTTTCTAAGTTTTAGCCTTTCCTGAACTATAGCTTTTTATTGCATGTAAATGGTCTGCAAAGGCAACAATTCCAAAGTTTCCCGCAGAGGGAGTTCCTCTCCCATGTCACAGTAGAGGAACAAAATATTTGTATAATTTAAAAAGCAAAAGTGGTCTTCACTATCCATATGAGAGGAATAGGAATTGTGTGATGTTTCCCAGTTAGTTAAACTACAATTGTACCTACAAAAACTACAGCTTCTACAGTTATTAACAAGTTATAGGATTATACCAATAATAATAATAATAATAATATACACCTATACACACATTTAGGTTTACATAAATTGTAAATAAAGTACACCCTTTGCTCAGTTGAAAAGAATATGTGCTATATTTAAAAAATATATATATAAGATTTTCTATAAAGATAAAATATGTCATAACTGTGATTGGTCTGATTCTGATCGCATTTAAAGGCTCAATTTACATATATTGTATTACAACATTTGAATTGTATGTAAATCCCTATGAAAGTGCTTCAAGCATGCCTTGGGACAAAGAAATCAATGTACTTATTATAATTCAGTTGTAATCTGCAAATATGTCTGCATATGTGCCCGTGGATATCTAAGTTCAGGCGTGTGAGCATATGCAGACAAACACATGCAGGTCAATAAGGCTCAATGTTAGCAATAGGCACTAATGGACTCTTAACATGACCCTTCACCTTTGACCTCTCCCTATACTGCCTTCATGACCTACACCACCTGTCAGGGAAGCAGAGAGGGGAGGGAAAGGGAGAGCTGAGAGACAGACGGTTGAGTAATGAAGAGAGAAAATGTCAGAGAGCTGAAGAGACTCAGGCTGGGTCGACAAACGGATGAAGATTTGAAAAAGGAATCAGAGAATGATGAGAAGAGAGGGATAAAGGTGAGATGAGATGAGACGGGGAACGACAGACTGCAGATACTGTAACCATATGTTTGGGGTTTGGTGGCTTGGAAATCAATTAGTCTGGCCTAGCTGCAGATGCTGTCATGTGAGCTTAATTACTAACGGGATGACAGGTAACATTAATTATCCTAACCTCTTTGTCATAACAACAGCTACTCATACATTAATTGGAAGGTCTTTGGTGCTTAATTGCATGTCTCATTTAATAACTGCACATAGGAAAAGTCTGTTTCTTTGGAAGACCAACGTGTTAATTAAAAAAAGGCCAAGACCCTATGTTCCAGATCAAAGGGTAATTCAAAACTAGTAAATGAATCCAAAGAAATAAATGTGTCTCATTATTCATGTTAACCTTAAGATATTGTGTGAAAATGTATATAAGTGGCTTGTATGCTATCTATTTGAATCTGAAGACTTTCTCAAAGTTTATTTTTTTAAATTACATTAAATTAGTTTATGAACACCTTACTATTCACCATTTACATGCACCAAAAAGGTAGCTAAAACCATATTTTTTATAAATGTGTATAAGTGGCTTGTACGTTATATATTTCTGTATGAAAAAGCATACAATCTGTAGTCTCTCAAAGTTTTTTATTTATTAAAATAAAAGTATAAATATCTTACTAGTCAACCATTTATATGCACCAAAACATGCAGCCAATACCATACTTTCAGTTAATTAGCTCAATTACTTAATATTTCTAATTCAATTAAATGGCTAATATTTAGGTTATTAAATAATGCACATCATTGAAAGCCTTTGCAAAAAATTAGATAAAACGTGCTAATATGAATATGTTCCAAGGTTGATTTGCACGGTCAGCCAATCATTGCTTTCCTTTAATATAATAATACTTAATTAAAATGTACCAAATACATCCCAATAAAGAAATACTATTTATTCACGTGAAGCTCATTTGAGCTAATGATTGATGGACCAGATTCTCCATTTGAAGAACAAAAAATGTACTCATGAAATGACAAAGATGTATTTGTACATCAAGGACAACTGCAGGGGTAAAAATTAATACATTAGTCTACTGACCTTGGACAGCTCAATCGATACTTGTGAGCATTAGCGGCCCTCCAAAAAACTGCATGGTAGAGAAGCCCAATTTCCATTTTAACTCAATGATGGATAATCCTACCTTGAATAACTATGCTTCTAATGAATGAGTCTCCTCGGTCCAATCTAACAATTGCTAAAAGCGGATAAAAAAGAGTGAACTATTAGTGATATTACTAATTACTGAATAACCAATCAGGCTAAGTGTTCACTGAAAACGCTTACAGAGTGAGTATGAGTGAGTTGCTGCTTATGCGATGTGTGTGTGTGTGTGTGTGTGTGTGTGTGTGTGTGTGTGTGTGTGTGTGTGTGTGTGTGTGTGTGTGTGTGTGTGTGTGTGTGTGTGTGTGTGTTTGTGTGTGTGTGTGTGTGATAAACCAAAGATAATTCATCTTAAATACTTAAGTGAGTCTGCGTTTTGATGAATACCATATCATAGGTCAGAGGTCTGAACAGTAAACCAATAAATATTTGAAATGCACCATTATGTTTCTATTAAACAAGTTTAGTTCATTTGTATAGAACAATAACCTATTTACATGAATAACGTTTTTACAGTTTATCTGATTAAGAACGAACTAGACATTGACATTAGAACATGTTCTGCCGTTGATCATTTATATATTTATATTATTTATTTTTTATTTCAATTATAATAAAGACCATTTCATAAGCAGCATTTACTTCTGCCAGAACGTATTGGTGTGAATTGGATAGAGTTCCTGTTTTGTTACTTCACTATTTAGTACCAGTCAGATTTAGGGTTATGAACTTCTCCAAACATAGGCAAAGCAAAAAGAAAAGAGGAAGGTGGGGACCTAGAAGAGCAGACACATTCACACAGAAAACCCTGCCTATTGTATGTACACATGTACATGCCATGTACGGTAACTGTATGGCAGTATCTTGCCAATAGATACATGTCTATCATCAAAGGGTTATACCGTCAAGTTGACTAACAACACACATGCTGACGACTACTTGCAAGTGCACAAAAACTAGGTGTAGCATGATAAATAAGTCCTGTACTGCCTTATTATCCCCAGGAGTATTCTGGGTAAGAACAAATACTCCCAGCCTGATTAACACGCTGGAAATAACCTATGTGTGTCCGTGTCCGTGTGTGTGTGTGTGTGTGTGTGTGTGTGTGTGTGTGTGTGTGTGTGTGTGTGTGTGTGTGTGTGTGTGTGTGTGTGTGTGTGTGTTGCAAGCCGGAAGAAAAACGGTTGTCATTTGTTGGCCTTCTATACTTATTTTTGTGTGGCATTTAGAACAAAAAACTGCCCCAGTAAATCTTACTGGATTGAAAATAAATAAAGAGAGGGGAAAGAGAGTAGGAGAGGAGACTGAGAGATAAGAAAGACAGAGAATTGCTGCAAGAAGAGTACTTTCTTTCTCTCATCGCTCTCACCGAAAAGGCCAAGGGACAATTTGAACAATTACCCAGAGCCATTACCTCCATTTGAAGAGGGCTGTTTGAGAAAAGTGTGTGGTGTGAGTGAGAGTCGAAGAGTAAGGGACAGTCAAGGAGCCAAAATGAAGACTGACAGTAGCCATGTTTCCGTAAACGCATATTCATGTCTATTTTTAAGTATCACATTGGAAAAGATGGAAGGAAACAGCATCATTTTAGTATTTTGTTGCCATCTAAATATGTTTTTTTATTTTTGCATTTGTCGGAAAATATTGACGTCCATATACAGATTCCTGTTGACTATATTTTGGATAATATGCCTGCATTTATCGAATTGGTCGAGGTTAACATTTACTGTTAGGGGGTATAAGTCACTCTAAAGACAGCTGGGTTCTGAACAACTCGAATGTAAGCTATGAACATGTAGCAACAATAGTGGAAATGGTATTGCATAATATCTACTGGCAGACACATTTCAACCGTCTAACGGCAATAGATTGTTTTAGCTAGCTAACCATGCTTTTAAATGAGTGTTTTGTTCTTGAATTGTAGCTGAATCGGTTGGCTGTCAGCCTTGAAGCCTCTCTTTTGTGTCTGATTTGTTTTAATTACATTTAAATTAATATCCGTGAGTTCATTTAGCTATTTC